TAAGCTCTCATCTTTTCAGATTCAAAGCCTGTGGAATCTCTGAAGTCCAACAATCTTTCTAATCTTTCTATTGCCAAAATATCAATATAATACACATTAATATAGCCTTTAAAAGGAGACAAAAACAGAGAATCTCAGGCCTGTCAATTCTTAACATTTTTTTCAAATCAATGGAAAATGTTAAGAAGAAAATGCATTGCAAAAGTTGTGTTTGTCTCTACATGTATTGGGGGAAAAAAAGGCACTTTGTGCTCTATTATCACATTCCAATTTCTGGCCAAACCCCTGTAGTTTTCATCACGCATCATTTTTGTGATTAATGATGTGCACCCAGTTAATGGAAAACAGCAAATTAGGTTTCCACTAATAGTTTTCCAAGTTACATATATCTGCCTGCCTCATTTAGTAACAACCTCACTGTTCAGTAAGAAAGTAATGGATTTAATCCCAAAGCAGAACTTAGTTTTATGAATACAAGACAGGTCAGATTTCCAGAGTGGAGAAAATTACACTTTTAGAGGTATGCTGATCTTCAGTTGAAATTTAACATGGAGATGATACCTCAGGATTTGGGATTTTTCCCTGTTTACTTCTATTTAGCAATCAGTTTAAGAATCTACAGCACTTATCTGCAGCCTATAAAATAGGTAGAATAGCATCTTTCAACCATAGCAAATAAAACAAATGAAATATGATAATTTCTATAATTAGCATACTAAGCTGAAAAGACATCTATTGTTCTAAAGACAGTGGTGAAAAACAGCTTGTTCCTTATATGTTAGTGGATCACTGCAATGATTGTGTCAAAAAGCAAAATTTACACTTGCTTGTTCCGTTGGACCATAGAAAGTATTAGCTCTAAGTAACTGTGATTTAAGAAAAAATACATAGTACAGTGGAATGCATCTAGGAATAGAGGAAGCAACAGAAAAGAATTCTAGTCTCATTTCTGCTTAAAATTACTTTGGAAACTATCTTTAGTTTTTGCTTTCCCCACTACCTTTTATATTTACCTCTCTTATGTCATTTAACAATCGCTATGGTATTTCAAGTTATATCTATGTATATCTCACATTTCCCATCTGGGTTAGGCTCCTTAAGAGCAGAGCAAACATCTGATTTACATTTTTATCTCTTACAGTGCAAAGCTAGACTGTGAGTTTCATGAGAGGAGGGACTTTGCCTGTACATCCCCAGGGGTTGGCATGATGTGACCTCACAATATGTGTCTGATAGTAGATGTTACAATAAACGAAAAACCTGAAAAGAATGCCATGCTTTCAAAATAAAAGAAAATGGGGACATTCTTTAAGAACCACACTATGTTAACTAATACCAAGATGTTAGGGAATGATCCAAAAATTTCAAAAGAAGAAACTAAATAAAAAACACAAATGGACAATGACTAGCAAATTTGTTAAGTAGACCAAGATTATATCACTACAGTGGCAAAAAGGAAAAAAAAAAAAAAACTAAACTAAACTCATCAATGGCTCTCAACGCCTACTAAAATTTCAAATTACTTTGCCTTGGTGATTTTCCCTACAAATTCTTCACCCTGTGTACATTGATCCTTCCTCAGCTATCTTCAAGAGAAGATTCAAATATCAAACCTCCATCAAATTTTTGCTTCTCCCTTGATTCTCCTGGACAGAAAAATAATCTCTCTATCCTCTAAACTTCCAAAAGGGTTTATCTGTGCTTCTCTACTAAAATATAGCACTTATTTATAATTTTTTTTTCCACAGCACCAGGCAAACAAGGCTAAGATCAAAATAAAATGACTATAGCTTAGGAAAACAGTGAACATACAGCAATAATAATGCTGACTTTTGTAAGCTTTTTTTAACTAGGTATTTTTAACATACATTACTTAATATAATATATCACATATTTAATATCCTGAAGTTTAGCTGGTAGAGTTTCTTTTCTTTGAGACAGAGTCTTGCTCTGTCACCCAGGCTGGAGGGCAGTGGCACGATCTCGACTCACTGCAGTCTCAGTCTCTCGGGTTCAAGCGATTCTCCTGCCTCAGCCTCCTGAGTACCTGGGATTACAGGCACAAACCACCAGGCCCTGATAATTTTTGTATCTATAGTAGAGACAGGGTCTCACCATGTTGGCCAGCTGGTCTCGAACTCCTGACCTCAAGTGATCCACCCACCCCAGCTTCCCAAAGTGCTGAGATTATAGGTGTGAGCCACCGCACCTGGCCTAGCTGGTACAATTTCTAAGCGAGCAGTACTTCAGCGTTTGCATTTTGTCATAATTTTCCCCCAAGCTTAACAATAAATGTGCCTTTTCAGAAAATTCTTAAGGCAAGTTCTAGAACTGATAAAGCAAAGAATAATTTACAACTGAACATAATCCTCTTGTAAAATGTAGTCAAGGCAAATGATGCCCTTGACTTGCTAAAAGGTGGCTGGAATGAAAAACACAATCTGCTATTCGATGTAGCCAGTATTCTCATCCATTCATGAGTTGGACAAACCTTGAAGAAGAGTAATTATTGTTAGAACAAACAGATCTCCATAAATCATGCCAAAAACAAAGTATGAAATGCTAAAAAATGAAATCCAATGGGTCAAATCCTGGTTAAGTTAGTCTATAATCTGAAGCTAATTCATTTTGGCAAGTCTAAGAAGATGTTTAACACAAAGTTAGATGTTTCACAGGGGTCATGACTAAATTGTTTTATGGTCAAAGCAGTCAGATGGCATTGTTTCTTCACTAAGGATAACATTATTTTCTTTAATACATTTTTACTTAAATTTTTTTTAATTATATGAAAGATTTCTGAAACTTTATTCAATTATTTGACAAGGCTTAATAAGAGAGAAAAGAAATTTCTACGGGTGTGTCCCTATGTAAAGCAAGTCTGACACATGCCTCTGTATACATATGAAGTGGTTCTGTTCTTACACAAGAATAGAAATCAGGCCTCCAAATTTCCTTGTGGAATCTCAAAACTGGCCTCTGATATCTGATCTAAAGCAGTTGAGTTTCTCCTTAAATGTATAGACATCAGCACCTAAAACACCTACCAGAAAATTCTACCATGTTTTGCCTGCAAACCAGCACCTACCAAACACTTGACAGGTATTTGATTTTGAAAGCTATCAAAATGTATGGGAGATTTGATGTTTTTCATGTTACTTTCCAAGAGAAATAAAAGTACATAAATATAGTTTATGTTATGCTGGTTGTTTCTAACAAGTAATATACAGGTACAACTAATAATCTAAATGATTGAATTGATAAAAACATCAAGTAATTTACTGAGCACTAAGCACATGAATAAAAAGTACTCTGTTGTTTGCTCTCATTAAGTTTTGCAGGTTAAGGAAAAAGATGTGAGAGCAAAATAATCACTTACCAAATTAGCGACGGCTCAAATTTTAATCTACAACAATGAGACATTTACCCACAGGTTCCATGTATTTATTTAGTCATCTTTTTCTCTGACAAAACATCTCCAAAATGATCTCACTGGCCAGGCTAAAACTCACCCAGGCACTGTCTGCACTTCTTGCCTAAATACACCGCAAGCACATATAATGAAGGTGGTTTTGCCATGCAAAATGAGACTGAACAAAGAACTATTCATCCAGTTCAAAGTACTGTAACTTAACAGTAGAATTAACACCACACTAATCTGTGCCATAAGAAAATATTATTCACATCAATGATTCAAAGATAGATCTTTGACAACTTAGGAAAAAAACTGTATGTATGTTATTTCTTAGTTACAAGGAAAAAGAAGTATATCATAGATTATTTCCTGCATTTATCATTTACTTCTGTGTTGTTATTGTTATTGTCTTAAGGTACAACTAACAGTCTGATTCCTTAAAGAACTATGTACACAGGAAACAAGTTGTGAACAGAGTTGAATACAGGCAATCTGACTTCAAAACCCACTTTTTTAATGAGTTTGCCAGACGATTAATTTTTATTTGGGGCTTTAACTTGTTTTCTGGAGGCTGACTCTGTAGATAATTTTATTCTGCTGAATCAGAGCTTCTTTCCAGTGCTATGTTAAAGCTCCTATGACCGATTCTTATGAAATCAGTATAAGTATAATGCATTATGAGAGTGACCAGGAGATGACAGCCATCAACCCACTTTTGTCAACCCACTGATCTTGCCACATGTGCTCTAGCATTAATTTTATGTACTCCTGTCCACCTACTTACCATATCATGTCATACATGCAGCCCTCCTGAGGCTGTGGGCCCTGAAAAAGCAGGTGGCTCTCCCAGACTGAAAGAAACATCTTTATGCTCCAGAATAATGGAATTAACTAGTACCTAATGAAAATCCATTGAAAACTCAATAGACACATAACCTTGAACGTAAAATCTTACTCAAGGAACCATGGCTACAATGTAGGAGGCTTTTAATAAAATAGAAAAATCAACTCAAGACAAAGCAACTAAAGCTAAGCATTTCTTTTTTCTTCAAGAATAAAGACCAACCTAACTTAAAGAAATAATTTATTTTTAGAGAGCAGAAATAAAACTGTTAGTTTATATACTGCTCGCTGACCATCATAAAATATACTTTTACATAAATATACTTCTACATAAATGCATTCTCATTAGGCTTTAAAATAAGCTACAACGACACAAGTTCTTTGAAAGTTTAAATTTCAAGGTCTAACACAAAATTGACCTTTTAAAGAGATAACAGTTTCCAGGGACTGAACCTCATAGTGAGAGTTCCTGAACAAACTCTCCAAACTAGTAAATGGGCCTTTTTTTGTTAGAGCATATAAACTCAGTCGCAGAAACATAAAATCAACAGGGGTGAGAAAGAAAGAGGGCTAATCTCTCATTACCATGGGATGCATATTCATATCAATGTGCGACACTTCCCCAACAATGGGGGTGGGAGAGGCAAGAGGGACAATCTCTCATTACCATGAAATGCATATTTATATTGATGTATTACTTATATAGTGAGACCTGATGACAACAAAACATACACCAGAAAAGTACATATGATTACCTGATATTCATTGGGCCAAAAGGTGCTCACTGCTAGCTCAGCCCGAAGCCAATCTCTACCGGTGAATCCAGTCACATTCCAAATTGGGTTGGCAAGAGGTCCTTTATTCACCCTAACTAATATGTTCAAAGTGCCAGGATTCAGCCCTTTCTGGCTATATAATAGATAACTGAAATCAATGCAGTGAGTGTCGTTTTCCTTCATTGTAGGCAGCTGAAGTCTGGCTTTTTCTCCAGGGTCATGATCTGAAGAGTCCACTATCATATAGGAACCTGCAATGACATTACAAGTAATAAAGCTAAAGAGATACATAACTAAAGGGAACATATAACAATAAAAATATGTCAATCCATTCTGAACATTAAATTTAACTCAAAAAGACTGTTTTCCAAAACATAGCCATAGAAATATATCAATCAAATAAGTAGATGAATTGAATTCTTACTAGAGAACAATGCTCAAAGTACACATTATTAATTTATTTAGTCTCCACAATAACCTGTTATTATCCTATTTTACAACTTAGGAAATTGAGGCACAACTGGTAATACTCAAAGCCAGGCTCAAATCCAGATCCCACTCTAAATCTCTGGTCTTACTGGACATAAGTATTTTAATAGAAAATATATATAGACACAAAAATGATACCTTATTGGCCTGGTTTACATAGAGGGTACCTTTCTTTTTCACTATCCAGAATATTATTGCAGGGATATGTGCTTAGAGTGCAGACAACAGAATAATTTCTAATTTCATATTGCAAGATCATCACATATACAAGTCATGTTATAATTTGTAACATACTAACTTTGAACCTCAGTCCATGGAATGAGGATACTTTGTAGTGTCAGTATGAGGGTTAAAGTTAAAAATCCCTAGAGCTGAGGATCTGGACATAGTAGATTTCCTCACTTGGAGTCTCACCCACTAAGCTGTCAGCTAATCACCACTGCTATTAGCCCTAATTATGTAATAGTTCCTATTCTCTTGTAGAGTATACAAGAAAACCAGTTTAAAATCACCAATCTACTCCATTCCCTTTGACTTAACAAGTGTTCATTGGTTATCTATCATGTGGAGGCAGAGGACATAAAGATTCCTACTCTCTTAGCTCACATACAGACTTTCCATTGCAGGCAAAGGTCAAATAGTGACAAACTTTTTGACAAAAATGATACTTGAACATCGGGCTGCTGCTTTTAGTCCCAGAAAACTCTCCAGTAAAACAACCAATTGTTCTCATGTCATTATGGATTTTAACAAAGACACATACCACAAAAATGCAAATATACCTATTTATTACACCAAAGACAGAACACAAGTTTTGTTGTAAAACACCTTTTTTCTTTGCTAGGGCATAATTTTAACCAAAATATATCAGATGTAGTGTTACAGAACCCAGTGTTACAAGAGTTACAGTTGACCCTCTCTTCCTGAATCAATCTTCTGCATTCCCTCCCCAAAATCTGTACACATGAAACATTAAACATTCAATTACTACTAGTCTAACTAGTTCAATTAACCCTCAACAACAGATGCAAATCATGGCAGAGGCGTCAACTGTTTGAGAAGCCAAATTTCAAATGTGACCAATTCCACTGAGTATAGAGAGCTTTGGGAAGATTTCTGGTTCAGAGCTTTTGGGAAGATTCCTGTAACACTTTAGTAAAATCAAATTACTGAATAAACGGATCATAGTGATAGTGGCTGATATTATTGTTCACTTCATTTTCCTAGTTCCCATCTTCTCTTGTAAGCTAGGATTCTTTTTTTTTTCTTTCTGAGTCTCACGGGTGGCACATAAATAGAATAATTGTCTGCGTGTATTTTGGGGAAATTGTGTCTTTATTTTTAAACAGGATATCCTGGATCTCAACCCAATTTATAGAAGCAGGATGTTTCTATTCTTTATTAATTCACATTCTGAAGTCAATGGTTGATTCAGCAAGATGTCTTTCACATTCACCACTGCATAGCAGACCAATTATTGCTTTTAATGAGGACCAGCCTTGAGATCTAGGATAAGTTGCTTAGTGTTTGTTATTGGGCCTCAGCATCTTCACAAACCTGTAGCATATTTCTCCACTACTATAACAGGTTTTTCCCCCACATTGGAATATTACAGCAATAGTGCATTTAAATTATATTTAGAGGTCTGCATCAATTATGGCTTCTGAATGTCAATTTTAAAGGAGTAGTCTCTAAATGATTTATTGGCTTTTTAATAGTATTTTCTCCTGTTATATAATAAACTTTGGAGTAAAAATATGCTTTGTGTCACATTTTAATTATATAGCACAATTTTTACTATAAAGACCATTTAGGAATTTTCAGTCAGTTGCACTCTTAAGCTACAATAATTATTTTTCTTATCAAGGAAACAGAATGGGCAAAGTAGATTCATTTGTAGGCATTATCCATTTAATCATTAGGAAGACAAAAGTCACAAAATAAAAGCATGTCTACACTATTTCAGCATTTCAAGCAAGTTAAATAATAAAGAAAAATAGTGTTGATAATTCATCTCTATAGGATGTTTCTGCTAAATGGCCCTCTTTGAATGATGCCTTACTACTGCCACATCTCTGAGTGCTCTGGAATAATAATGCATTTATTGCACAGTTCCAGAAAGGAAGAAGCAAGCACTAGCACCAAAAAGCCATCTAAATCCTTCTGCCTACTGACTTCATATAATGTCAATTTACCCAGTAAGCACTATGGAGGGAGCTGCCTGTCTGACACAGGGTTCCCTTCCATCATCCCAAATACAGAAAATACTGTGCTATTCTTATCAACATCTAAAAATTACTTCTGTAGTCTCCCAGAAAAACTGTCGCCCAGCTTGGAAAATGACACAATATGCACTTTCCCCAACCTTTATGTTATAATTTAAGCTTATTTACAATTGTTCTGTTACCAGATAACTAATTCCTCAAATTTCTAACAAGAGGTTAGTTATCTCAAGGCTTAATGAAACATCTATGTTCACTCGCACACAATGTATTAACTTTTAATTAATACAACTTCTTTATCATGGCCTTACAAATATTCCTTACAGTCTCTTGAGCAATAGAGTTCTCAAATATATCATTCAAGACAGAGAAAACTATATATGTTTTTTGTTTGTTTTAAGTGCAACCTGAGCAGAGAGCAATTTGACATCAAAAACCTTTAAGAGATATTCATGACTAAAACACCAAAAGCAATGGCAACAAAAGCCAAAACAGACAACTGGGATCTAACTAAACTAAAGAGCTTCTGCACAGAAAAAGAAACTATCATCAGAGTGGACAGGCAAACCACAGAATGGGAGAAAATTTCTGCAATCTATCCATCTGACAAAGGGCTAATATCCAGAATCTACAAGGAACTTAAACAAATTTACAAGAAAAAAATAACCACATCAAAAAGTGGGCAAAGGATATGAACAGACACTTCTCAAAAGAAGACATTTCTGTAGCCAACAAACATGAAAAAAAGCTCATCATCACTGGTCATTAATAAATGTAAATCAAAACCACGATGAGATACCATCTCATGTCAGTTAGAATGGCCATCATTAAGAAGTCAGGAAACAACAGATGCTGGAGAGGATGTGGAGAAATAGGAACACTTTCACACTGTCGGTGGAAGTGTAAATTAGTTCAACCACTGAGGAAGACAGTGTGGCAATTACTCAAGGATATAGAACCAGAAACATCATTTGACCCAGCAATCCCATTACTGAGTATATACCCAAAGAATTATAAATCATTCTACTATAAAGACACATGCACACATATCTTTATTGCAACACCACTATTCACAATGGCAAAGACATGAAACCAATGCAAATGCCCATCAATGATAGGATGGATAAAGAATATGTGGCACATATACACCATCTAATACTATGCTGCCATAAAAAAGGATGAGTTCATGTCCTTTTCAGGGACTTAGATGAAGCTGGAAACCATCATTCTCAGCAAACTGACACAGGAACAGGAAGCCAAACACCGCATGTTCTCACTCATAAGTGAGAGCTGAAAAATGAGAACATATTGGCACAGGGAAGGGAACATCACACACCAGGGCCTGTCAGGGGGTGGGGGGTGGGAAGGGAAAGGGTAGCATTAGGGGAAATACCTAATGCAGATGATGGGTTGATAGGTGCAACAAACCACTATGGCACGTGTATACCTGTGTAACAAACTTGCATGTCTGGCACATGTGTCCCAGAAGTTAAAATAAAGAGAGATTTATACCTTCTGATCTGGCAATTCCATGTCTACAAATGTATACTAGATAACCAATCAGGTATATATAAAAGATACAGCTTTAAAAGATTCCTAATTCATTACACTATTTAAAATGGAGAAAAATTTAACCACTCTCAATATTCAGTAATCAGCAATTTGCAAAATTATGGCACATCAATTTAATGAAAAATAATGTAGTCATTAAGAATTGTATTATTTTAAAACATTTTGTGGAAGATATTCACAATACGTTAACTTAAATATGCAGGTTGTAAAATATTCCACCCACTTATGAAAAACACATATCTATGTTAAATACATCTGTGTAAATGTATGTGTATTCACAAATGCACACACATAAACTTGTACATATGACTTGAAAAATATACAGCAAAATCTTAACAGTATATTATCTGGTGTGTTATAACTGTCTTCTAGGCTTTTAAAAAAGTTTTTGCATATGTACAGTTTCTGAGAGTTCTATAATTACTAGGCACTAGATTTGCACATTTTTTATTAAAACAGAAACTAAATGAATACTATCTTACAAGAGGAACATCAAATGAATAATGATAAATACTTAGTAAATAAACACAGGTAGGTGTTTTTAGTCTTTTAAAAATAAATCCTATTTGTAACCTACAGATTAACAGCATCTTGGCATTCAAAAAAAACACAATATAAAATTGAGCACTTCTTATTCCAACTCATTAAAAAAGAGAAAGGCAGAGAAGACTTCAATGACAGCTTTTACTAAAAAGAATGGCCAAGGAAAATAACATAATCTAATATCTAGATGAATATGTAATGTCATATGGATTTTATATATTAATGACTGTTTTATCTTTAAGCTACAGTTCTATGAATAATGTATTAACATGGGAAATTGCATTAATAGCAAAGAAAATAATTAATGATAAATAGACTTCCATACTTTCTTCTAAAACTCCTTTATATATGTATGTGTTGGTATACTTTAGTACACTAACATAATATTTGTATTGTCAGTTCTTATTCAAAATCTATTGAATCTT